CCCCTTCTCAAAACAGCATGGCTCAGGAGACAAATCAGACGCAGGTGCCAATGCTTTGCACTATGGGATGCGGTTTCTATGGTAATCCTCGCACCAATGGAATGTGCTCTGTCTGCTACAAGGAACATCTGCAGAGACAACAAGGAGGGGGACGAAACAGTCCCCCAGGTGAGAAAGGTAGGATACTGGGAGATTGATTTACATGTCGTCACATGCACCTATTGTATTAGGAATCAAAAGTGTTCACTCAGTTTTGAGGTTAAGCAGAGTTCATTGTTAGGCTCCTCCATTTCTTCCAGCTGCCACATCTCCTGTAGGTTCCCCAGGTGCATCTGCAGTAACGGTGGAGTCCATCCCTGTACCCACTACAGAAGCCGTTACCCCACCTGAAGAACGCACGTCTAGGTAAGAAGTCCTTTATAAATCTGAGACTGTTCATACTTCAGTTGGTACAAGTGCAAAACAGTCTGTAGCTCAGTGGTAATCTCTTAATGAGCACAAGCTGCTTATGATGATATAGCAAGGAATTATAACAAATAACCCCTGTATTTGGTTGGATTGTGTTTATGCAGTAGTTTGCCCAGCCCGGTAACCCAGCAGATGACGGCTATGAGCATCTCCCAGGACACATCAACCACTGATTCAGACAGAGCGGAAGTAGAGGAGGAAGAGGAGGGTGGCTCGTCTAAAAGCACAGGTCTGCTGAGTCTCATATTTGCACATTGTACAAAAATATTCTACTCAGAAAATATACTAAAAGAACATTTAAAAAAGTTATTTCCTGGAAGAAATTTAGAATTTTTATCAATTATTAAATTGAAAGATTCTATATCATTTTTATCAGTACTATTGTTGTTACTTCTATGTTTTTGTATAGTGATTGCTTCTTAAGAAAATGCTATATTATTGTAAATGATGTATTGAAATGATAATGTTGCCATGAAAATAGCCATTGTTGCTTAAATGGTGTTAAAATATAAATAAATATACAAAATTATTCTCAGTGTTATTATAGTTAATTAATACTAAAACCATAAATTGGCTTTTGTTCCTTGAAATTAAATAAGCTTTAACTAAAATAAAATTAATAAACTATAATGTACTATAACAGCACTGGTCATTCTTGGTCTCCTCTTTTATATCAATTGAATAATTATTAGCAGTGTTTAATATGTTTCTTTAAAAAAAAAAAAAAACATTTTAGAAGCACATTTCTTTGGTTATTTGAACTGTTTTGCAGCGTTCACAATTTGAATAGAATTTTGCAAATTAATTTAAATTTTATAAATATATTCATCTTATTTTTCTTTTAAAATCACTTTATATTGTAATTTTTGCTCATTAAACCATTGCATACATACTAAAATGTTCAACAAATCAAATAAATAATTGGCAGATTATTCTAATATTAAACCAGTTGTTAGTAGAAGTTTTATGTAGTATTATAATAATTCTGTGGATAATAATAATTCTATAGATTTTGAGATTTGATCTTGTTCGTATGTTTAATTATGAAACACCATAATAATATGAAAAGAAGAAACAAATCTTGGAAAAACTTGAACAACCCTATCCAAGTTAAAGCCCCTCCTTTCAATTCATTTTATGGGAAGACATGAATACTGATCTTTCATTAAATCATTGATATGAGTGTCGGAGTCTCATGTATCCTCCGAAGCTTGGAAGTTCATTATGTTTAAGAAATTATCTGTCAAAGGCTGACCATGTCTTTAATCACAGGGCCAGTAGGGGAAGCTGCACAGGCTTCTTCAGACGGAGATCAGACTCCTGACAAGAACAAAAAGAAGAATCGATGCTTCACTTGTAGGAAAAAAGTTGGCCTCACGGGTAAGAACCAAGGGAGAAGCTTTTTGTTTTGTGAATGAGGGCTGGGCCGCACTTATCTTTGAGCAGTTTTCAAAACTTTACAAAATATAGCTTTACTACTAAGCTGTTTATTTTCCTGCTTAGTTGAGAGAGTCACAAGACGATCTCCTTCTAGTTTTAGTATTCCAGCTCAAATATTCACTTTTTTGTTTAGTCTTATTCCCATTTCTTTCACACATACAACGATTTCCCTGCATGCAAATGTATTGATAATAATAATAAATGTTTCTTGAGCACCAAATTCAGACAGAGCGGAAGTAGAGGAGGAAGAGGAGGGTGGCTCGTCTAAAAGCACAGGTCTGCTGAGTCTCATATTTGCACATTGTACAAAAATATTCTACTCAGAAAATATACTAAAAGAACATTTAAAAAAGTTATTTCCTGGAAGAAATTTAGAATTTTTATCAATTATTAAATTGAAAGATTCTATATCATTTTTATCAGTACTATTGTTGTTACTTCTATGTTTTTGTATAGTGATTGCTTCTTAAGAAAATGCTATATTATTGTAAATGATGTATTGAAATGATAATGTTGCCATGAAAATAGCCATTGTTGCTTAAATGGTGTTAAAATATAAATAAATATACAAAATTATTCTCAGTGTTATTATAGTTAATTAATACTAAAACCATAAATTGGCTTTTGTTCCTTGAAATTAAATAAGCTTTAACTAAAATAAAATTAATAAACTATAATGTACTATAACAGCACTGGTCATTCTTGGTCTCCTCTTTTATATCAATTGAATAATTATTAGCAGTGTTTAATATGTTTCTTTAAAAAAAAAAAAAACATTTTAGAAGCACATTTCTTTGGTTATTTGAACTGTTTTGCAGCGTTCACAATTTGAATAGAATTTTGCAAATTAATTTAAATTTTATAAATATATTCATCTTATTTTTCTTTTAAAATCACTTTATATTGTAATTTTTGCTCATTAAACCATTGCATACATACTAAAATGTTCAACAAATCAAATAAATAATTGGCAGATTATTCTAATATTAAACCAGTTGTTAGTAGAAGTTTTATGTAGTATTATAATAATTCTGTGGATAATAATAATTCTATAGATTTTGAGATTTGATCTTGTTCGTATGTTTAATTATGAAACACCATAATAATATGAAAAGAAGAAACAAATCTTGGAAAAACTTGAACAACCCTATCCAAGTTAAAGCCCCTCCTTTCAATTCATTTTATGGGAAGACATGAATACTGATCTTTCATTAAATCATTGATATGAGTGTCGGAGTCTCATGTATCCTCCGAAGCTTGGAAGTTCATTATGTTTAAGAAATTATCTGTCAAAGGCTGACCATGTCTTTAATCACAGGGCCAGTAGGGGAAGCTGCACAGGCTTCTTCAGACGGAGATCAGACTCCTGACAAGAACAAAAAGAAGAATCGATGCTTCACTTGTAGGAAAAAAGTTGGCCTCACGGGTAAGAACCAAGGGAGAAGCTTTTTGTTTTGTGAATGAGGGCTGGGCCGCACTTATCTTTGAGCAGTTTTCAAAACTTTACAAAATATAGCTTTACTACTAAGCTGTTTATTTTCCTGCTTAGTTGAGAGAGTCACAAGACGATCTCCTTCTAGTTTTAGTATTCCAGCTCAAATATTCACTTTTTTGTTTAGTCTTATTCCCATTTCTTTCACACATACAACGATTTCCCTGCATGCAAATGTATTGATAATAATAATAAATGTTTCTTGAGCACCAAATCAGCATATTAGAATGATTTCTGAAGGATCCTGTGAAATTGAAGCCTGGAGTAATGATGCTGAAAATCCCAGGAATAATTTACATTTTAAAATATATAAATAAAGAACATTTAAACTGTTTATAATATTTCACAATATGTTTTTGACCGTTTTTTTTGTTTTTGTTTTTTTACCAAACTTTTAAAAGGTAGTTTATGAATATTTTCCAAGATCAACTTAATTGCTCATTTATTTCATTAAAATATAAATCTGTCAATTTTAGTTAATTTGTCATAGTTTCTATCTGTAGTCAGACAGCATACTGCAAGTTAGTGCTGCATTTCACATGGTCCTGCTGGTATCCTGCCTATTCTTTAGAGACCTCAATGTTAAAACTTATATCCATCTGAAATACATGGCCGATTGAAAGACTGAATCAACTTTCCTTTGTTTTCTGTAGGCTTTGACTGTCGCTGCGGTAACCTGTTTTGCGCTATCCACCGTTATTCTGACAAACATGACTGTCCCTACGACTACCGAGGAGCCGCTGCCGCCCGCATCCGCAAGGAGAACCCCATCGTGGTAGCTGAGAAGATTCAGAAGTTATGAGGACTGACAGCTAAATGAGCAAAAATTGTTTGACCTGCAAGTTTTGGAACCATGGCGCTGAATAGCACCATTCTAAACTGGGTTCATGTCTTCATTGTAGGATAAGGTGGGTGGGGTTGTAGGGTACAGCCCCTGCTTGGCCACTCCCTAAACTATCATCTCCCTCGCAAGGAGAACCCCATCGTGGTAGCTGAGAAGATTCAGAAGTTATGAGGACTGATGACTAAACGAGCAAAAATAGTTTGACTTGCAAGTTTTGGAACCATGGCGCTGAATAACACCATTCTAAACTGGGTTCATTTCTTCATTGTAGGATAAGGGGGGTGGGGTTGTAGGGTAGAGCCCCTGCTTGGCCAGTCCCTAAACTATCATCTCCCTGTCGCTCCCAGAAGGGTGGTGTAGAGGTGTGTGTGAGTGAATGTGTGACATGTTGAGAGAAGTTGTGTGTGAGTGTTTTTTTTTTGTTTTTGTTTTCTAGAGAGCCAGGGAGAAGAGGGATTGGTTGTCAGGTGGGCATCCATGTGGGAGGGTGGACTCTTTAGTTTTTACCCTGGTATTGATTTTTGTTAGGATATTACCATAATTTTTTTATAGGAGCCCTGAGATGTGGGTTCAGGAGTCCGATTGGAAAGGGTGGGTGGGGTTGGACATCGAGAGGGAATTTCTCTGATACTGCAAAACATTGAAGAATATAGATTTTAATGACTACTCGCACATTTACCCATGTAAAATTATTTTACTGTGTAATTCTTTTTTTCTTTATTCTGATGAATTATCCCGACATGTCAAATGGATTGCATTCTATTTATTTTGTATTATCATTTGGTTGGTTGGTACTGGAGGATTGGAAGCATTTGTTATATAAAAAAATTATAGGTCCTGATGGAGTAGAGTCAGACTGGATTGGGCTTTTCAGAATCAAAGCACAAGATCGTTCTTCAGTTTCTTTGCACAAACGCAGCAAAAAGTGCAGTTAGTGTAGGATCCTCAGTGCTGTACGGAACCTAGCAGGCCCGTTATTGCTAATGCAAGCCAGCGATTAACTTTTTTTGACCTTTGCCCTAAGAGCCGCAGAGCTTCGAGAGCAAGGTATTCGATAACCACCAGCAGACCAATGAATGATGCTGATGGAACCAGCTACTAATTTGTTTATTAGGCGACGCCTTTTCGTTCCAAAAACATGTATTTACAATTAATACCGCTCATAGTGCAAGATGCACACACACTTCCCCAACAGATAAACGTTGCATGCTCGCACAAATATTAGGCCAAATGCAGAGTTTGCTACAGCCACATATTAAAATTGCAACACGAATGTAAACCAAACGTCCCATTGCATGGGCGAATGAAGCCTGCTTTCCAAATGAACAGGATTCTAATGTAAATACTATGTGGCTGCCATTCTAAAATAGAATGTTTAAGGTTTTAGAAAGAACAGGAAAGGTTCACTTTGACTGGAGTGGAAAAAAACACACAGGTCTATTAGCATATACCAGCAGATTATTACATGCCAGGACGGTAGCCGGGAATCAACTCGAAACGACAAACCAGAAATTGAGTTTTATTCCTGGAGGGCTCGGCTTTTTATTTGCGGATGAGACATGTCCTTAGCGGCGTCCAGACCTTTATTTGTTGTCTGAGAGGAGTCGTAGCTGACTGGCTGGCTGGCTAACTCCCCCCTACCCCCTCACTACGAGCTAGCTACTTAGCGACAGAGGTGTGAAAATATAAAGAAATCCGGCTTTGGCAGGCTGTGGTCAAGAGAACGACACGTATGTGGACAAATATATACATTCATCTGTTTGTTAGCAGTATAATGTTCGTTTGCAGCTGAAATGAAGTGTAAATGTTGAGTTAGCGATTAGCGGGTCTGTTGGGACTGATGTGACCACTGGTGGATATTTTATTGGAGCCTCTTAAACCGGCAATATCAGGCAATATATATTATTTATATTTGTAGTCTATACAGTGTCAGATAGCAGATAGACTATCAGTTTTAAGCTGGGAGGACAGTATAGCTGGGAGATAGGTTTACTGGATGCCTGAATTCTACCTGGGTATTACTTATTAACCATTTGTTTACTGTTGGAGCTTTTTACTTGTTTAAGCTTTCGTCGAGAATTTTGCATTATATATATAATGCAAAATTATATATAACAAAATTATATATATATATATATATATAATTATATATATAATGCATTATATAATATATATATATATAAAGAGCTGTCTTATTTTTGTTTTTGAAAAGGAGCTTGAATGTAGTATTGTTTTTAAAGTGATTGCCCAGTAGATTAGATGTTAAATTAGTTATTTATTATATGTAAGTGTTTTGTTTAAAAAATAAAAAGTTTAAACAGAAAAAAATATCGGAGAAATATCCTTCAAATTATATACATTCACATGAGATCATATCAGTATTCTAGAAAAGGCTGTTTTATTGTATATTGAGAGGGTCGCCCCCTCATGGGTGCCGCCATGTTGAGATCACATGACCAGCCGTGTCATTTAATAATAATAATATATTATGGAATTTATTGTTATTACTCCAAATATAATATACTTACTACAGAGTCCTGTTGAAACTGAAGTAATGTAAGTAGAAAAATACATAAAATGTCCCCAACAGATAAACGTTGCATGCTCGCACAAATATTAGGCCAAATGCAGAGTTTGCTACAGCCACATATTAAAATTGCAACACGAATGTAAACCAAACGTCCCATTGCATGGGCGAATGAAGCCTGCTTTCCAAATGAACAGGATTCTAATGTAAATACTATGTGGCTGCCATTCTAAAATAGAATGTTTAAGGTTTTAGAAAGAACAGGAAAGGTTCAGCAGGAAAAAAAAACGTCTGTTTTGTGTGTATGTAGTGTTTATTAACTACCCATACGTAAGGAGAAAGGTGCGCTGTGTGTTCTCTGTCATCCTTTGAGTGACTCTTGTGTCTTTGTGCTGGTTGTGTTTTTAATTACTTTTTTTTGTGTGTGTAAAAGGGCTGAAACAACCATTTTGTATTTATCCTTAATGTGGTCCAGCAGTCTTCCCTCATAATGTCTCTTGATGTGCACATTTTTCCGTGATTCCTATACAGTCCCTTGACTTGTTGAAATCAACTTTGGTGGATGTATCCGATTTGAAGTCCTGGTAATGACCTTGCTGCTTTATTAAGGAAATAACCTGAGCTTTAATTAGCACCGTCTGTGATTGCAGCATTATCCTCGGTGGGGCTGCCAGCTCAAGAGGGCTTTTGTGAAAGGCAGGTGTAAGTGGCTCAGTGAGCTGGCATGTGTACACGTTATGCTTGGCTGAGCCAGCATCCTGACAGCCTTTTAATGAGGGTTTGGATCTCATGCTTTCTGTCTGCACCGTTTGCTGGAAGATAATCCTACTTTTCTGGGGTTTGAGTGTAGGGATACAGACAGTGTATGGGAAGGCTAGACTCCAGTTCCTGGTGAGATTGTTGTAGTGTGGCGGGCACAAAACTGTGAATGTAGTCAACCGCTTGACTATGAAGCTCCAGTGGGTTAAAAGCCAGTTGGTCACCTCTATTGTTGCCTTCATTGTCTTATCAGACCGTTGGCACTGTATTCCAGTGCATTATCCCTTCAATGCTAGCAATGATTAATCGCCTTCATTGCGTGTTATTAAGCAAAATAGAGAAGTGACTTCTTCCTTACTTGTAACTGAAGAAGAACTGCCTTGGTTTTAGTGAAGGTGTCGAGATTAATTTTTCTCCCAAGTTCATCAGAAGATGGGTGATGTGATGTGAGTTTCAGCTCAGGCGTGTTCGGCAGTACGTTAACCAGCATTTATGAATAATTTACCAGCATGCCCAGTCCCCCAGAGACACCACCAGATACCTTTTTGTTTTCTTTTTAAATTTAGGATTGTATGATGTGTATGAGAAAGTATAAAACCAATAAAATCACAAAGTTTATTTTAAATTTACACAATGTCTTGTGTGGTTCTTTTATTGTGAGCATATATTTGCCCAGACCATCTAAAGCAGTGGTTCTCATCTGGAGGGCCCAGTAAATCTTAAAATGATCAAAATTGTTATTTTAACTTGAATACTATTTTAGAAGAACATTTAAAAAACAAACAACATTTAGTTGACACATTTTTAGCTTTTTTTATTAAACCGAAGTGCCAGGGGTACCTATCAGCTTGGATAGGACAACTTTTGAAAAGCGGCCTTGGATCCAGAAGGTTAATAAACACAGAAAATAAAAGATGCAAAGTTTTCGTGGCGATGCAATTGAGGAATAATTTTGTGTTCCCCAAAGAACCTTTCTGTTAAGTCCGTGAACCATTTTTTTTTTTCTTAGCGTGAATTTTTTTTAATAATCTGAAGAACATTTTCCCTCTATAAAGCACCTTGGAAAAAACTGTGGAAATGTTCCATATATAAAGAACATAAATTTTTCATGGATGTTTAAAGAATAGTTCACCCAAAAAAGAAAATTAGCTGAAAATGTGCTCACCCTCAGGGCATCCAAGATGTCGATGAGTTTATTTCTTCATCTGAACCGATTTGATGAAATTTAGCATTACATCATTTGCTTACCAATGGATCCTCTCCAGTGAATGGGTGCCGTCAGAATCCAAACAGCTGGTAAAAACATCACAATAATCCACACCACTCCAGTCCCATCCATCAATTAATGTCTTGTGAAGTAAAAAGCTGTGTATTTGTGAGAAATCTACATTTTAACTTTAAATTGTGGCTTCTGGAAATACATATTTTTATATTATGTTATATAATAGATATATTTAATATTATCATGGACTTCATAATCCAAAATAATGCTTAGATATCAATAAGGAACCTTTATTTTTAAGAGTGTAGTGTGTCGTCTTTTGCTGAAAATTTACTTTTGTGTTTTGAGTGGCGTAAACAAGATCTGTAAGCAGTGAAAATGTCCTGTGTCTGTATATGAATCATCCTGTATTATTGCCACATCGGCAGCTGCCCACCTCGGCCGGTTTCACCAACAGGCTGGCTACTGTCTGTGGGCACTTACGTGGTTTTTAGTCACTGGGTTTAAATGGGTTGACATTTATCTGTTAGATTTAATGTGGCCACATGATTCCGTTGTATTCATTTACACTTTGTAGGCTTGTTAATGAGTGAAAGAAAGAAGGAAGGAGTGTTTTTTTTTCTGTCTTTTAAATCCAGTTCCATATAAAACAGTAGTTCTCTCTGCCTGGAAGTGCCATTAAGATCATCTCTTCTCCACAAAAGCATGTCAGTAGCATCTCCACCCTTTCTTACTAGTGATATCAATGATCAATTTCCTTGGTATTCTAAAGTCTTATATGAAAAGTGACTTGATTGTCTTTCACCTTTGTTGAAAGAAAAGTGAAAATAGGCTACACAAACCACACAAGCATTTTTTAATTAAACACGCTAAAGGCTATTTAGTGATAACTTGTAGCAACCTTTTAATCAATTAAACGATTATATGCTTTCATAAACATGTTGAGAAAAGTTATGCAATGCACATAAACAACTTTATTTAAATAATAAAAAAAAAAATTTGGTAGATGTCTCTCGCATGACTGTAATCATCGGCTGCCTGGCAGATTTTACATCGCTATGCCAGCAGATCTGACAGAAGTTCCTGGGATGCTCCTCCCTCGATGTCTCATCAGCGTAATTTCCGGATGCGGTACAGTGAAGAGCAAAGACGTTTTAACAGGAGGACTGTCATCCACTTTGTATGATTTCCGCACTGAGGACTCGTCGGGTCACGTGCGACTTAGCGGCCCCTCTGATTGGTTACATGCCTCTGGCACTTTTCAGATATTTATTTTAAAATTATTTTATACTAAAAAAAATAAAGGATTGTAATTTATTTTAAAAAGCAAAGATACTGATCTGATATTGATACTGATATGTCAAAAAGAAAGTTATTCCAAAGGAAAAATATTGTTGGAATTCCCATCTGTGATATTACAAATTTTGCATTTCAAGTAAGGCGAGAAATGTGAACATTTTTCTAACATCTTCCTATAAACATTTTGCTCACTACGTTTGCAGATGCTTGACAAGAATGTTCTTTTTGTAAAAATACATTCGATTTTGTATGGTTTTATTATTGTAAAAGTGTACACAAACTGTCGAAAGAGACAGCATGTTAAACGTCAGTATCTTGATTGATTAATTATTTCTATATTCCCAAATATAGAATATATGCAAATACAAATATATTAATTTTCATGGCTTGCTTTTTGTAGCAAGCATGATCTTTTGAATTAATCAAGAACGAAAACAATTTATACAATTTTATTAAAAAGATATATGTTAAAATTAGTTTATTTTGTTCTTTTATAAAGGTTATTTTTTAAACTATCTAATAAATAATAATTTATAAATGATCTTTTTATATAGATTATTTTGTTTTTAAACAGATAAACAGTTTGTATTTTAATTTAAACATACTCCGTAATTATACAGTATCGTGTTTGAAAATATCATTTATTAATCATTTTAGCTTTCAAGCCAACAGGTTTTTAATCCATGTTTACTTACGCCTCTACAGCGCTTCCTACTTCAAGCCGAGACGCAATGAAGAGTGGGAAGGCTAACAAACATCTTTGACTGGAGTGGAAAAAAACACACAGGTCTATTAGCATATACCAGCAGATTATTACATGCCAGGACGGTAGCCGGGAATCAACTCGAAACGACAAACCAGAAATTGAGTTTTATTCCTGGAGGGCTCGGCTTTTTATTTGCGGATGAGACATGTCCTTAGCGGCGTCCAGACCTTTATTTGTTGTCTGAGAGGAGTCGTAGCTGACTGGCTGGCTGGCTAACTCCCCCCTACCCCCTCACTACGAGCTAGCTACTTAGCGACAGAGGTGTGAAAATATAAAGAAATCCGGCTTTGGCAGGCTGTGGTCAAGAGAACGACACGTATGTGGACAAATATATACATTCATCTGTTTGTTAGCAGTATAATGTTCGTTTGCAGCTGAAATGAAGTGTAAATGTTGAGTTAGCGATTAGCGGGTCTGTTGGGACTGATGTGACCACTGGTGGATATTTTATTGGAGCCTCTTAAACCGGCAATATCAGGCAATATATATTATTTATATTTGTAGTCTATACAGTGTCAGATAGCAGATAGACTATCAGTTTTAAGCTGGGAGGACAGTATAGCTGGGAGATAGGTTTACTGGATGCCTGAATTCTACCTGGGTATTACTTATTAACCATTTGTTTACTGTTGGAGCTTTTTACTTGTTTAAGCTTTCGTCGAGAATTTTGCATTATATATATAATGCAAAATTATATATAACAAAATTATATATATATATATATATATAATTATATATATAATGCATTATATAATATATATATATATAAAGAGCTGTCTTATTTTTGTTTTTGAAAAGGAGCTTGAATGTAGTATTGTTTTTAAAGTGATTGCCCAGTAGATTAGATGTTAAATTAGTTATTTATTATATGTAAGTGTTTTGTTTAAAAAATAAAAAGTTTAAACAGAAAAAAATATCGGAGAAATATCCTTCAAATTATATACATTCACATGAGATCATATCAGTATTCTAGAAAAGGCTGTTTTATTGTATATTGAGAGGGTCGCCCCCTCATGGGTGCCGCCATGTTGAGATCACATGACCAGCCGTGTCATTTAATAATAATAATATATTATGGAATTTATTGTTATTACTCCAAATATAATATACTTACTACAGAGTCCTGTTGAAACTGAAGTAATGTAAGTAGAAAAATACATAAAATGTTTTGTTAAATATGTATTGACCACAATCTCCTGTCATCTCTTGCAGCTGACAATGAATGGCCTTTCTGTGAGTGAGTTGTGTTGCCTGTTCTGTTGCCCCCCCTGCCCCAGCCGTATCGCTGCCAAGATTGCCTTCCTGCCCCCTGAACCTACCTATGCCCTCTTGCCCGATCTGGAGGCCGGGCCGGTACTGGCCGGACCTACGGGGACGTCAAGCCTCCGGTCCCGGGGAGGAGGTGGCGGTGGCGGGAGTTCGGTAGGTGGGGGGAATGCTCCAGTGGAGGGGCGCTGGAAGCTCCACCTCACAGAGCGGGCAGAATTCCAGTATTGCCAACGGGATCTGGATGCCACAGAAGTGTTCCTGACTCGATCTAGTAGGGGGAACAGAGTGGGCTGCATGTATATCCGCTGTGCCCCCTCTGCCAGGTAGGATGGATGCATTTTTGGATGAGTTGTGATTAGAGGAGTTTTTTTTTTTTTAACAATAATATATGTTGAACTCAAAATGTCCTGTTTTCTCTGATGGACACCCCTTTTCCTCCCATGGATCACTTACATTCCTTCATTATTTTTCCATTTTCCTTTGTCCCATTTCCTGCTTCCCTCTCTGAGTTTGTCTGCTATCTTTACTCAGAAGCCACTCCTTCCTGGACACATTCTTTCTTTATCACGCGCCACTTTATTCTCAGTGTTATTCTCACTTGTTCCTTTCTTGCTTTATTTCCTCTTCGATTTTCAAAGGATGAGTAGTTGTTTTTTGTTGTGGTATATACTGTGGATGTCTTCACTACACCAAGTACCTGTTAATATGTTTTTGGAAGTCTGACTTTTATATCATATTTTTATTAAAAATGTTTTTTTTTTTATTTATAAAGCTGAAATTATATAAAATATAAATATTTGATGGAAAAAAAAAAAAAAACATCCTGGCCACTAACTGAAATCAAATAAAAATTAATGAAATAAATTAAAATGAAGAGTACAAAAGGAGAGTACAAAAGCACTTAATAAATTACTAAAACTACAATTAAAATGAAAACTGAAAACACACAAATATTAAAATAATACTATTATTATTTTAATAATACTATATAAGAAGTGATACAAAAATAACACTGTTTGATATATCATGCCAGTTGTTTTGTTTTTTTTGCCAGTGGATTTGGATTTAGACGC